ATATCTCCGCATCTAGTGAATCAAATTCAATGATTTTGATACCATTAGATGCGTCTTGACTAGACCTTTCTAATGGTGCCAAATTCATTTAATTTGGTCCACTGCATGCGGAGATATTTGCATTTCTTTAAACTGAATATTTTTTCTTCGCCTTTCGTCGCCAGATTCGAAGTTTACCGCAATTCTGCTAGTATTTTAAATTTCCAATGTTGCTTTATAAATTGTACAAAAACCTCCTTTTGCAAGATATTCAACAGTGGTAAACCTTTCAAAGGGATCTTTAGAATGGTAAACCATTCAGCTTTATAAATTTGTTTGTGGTATTCATGACATGCGTCGTAGTAATTAGTTTCTTGACAATTGGTACATTACTACAATCATATTTGTTGTTGAATATGTCGGTAAACATCTGGAAGAAGAAACAAAAATCAGAGCAGAGATTAATTCATTTTTTGGATAATCCGGATCGCGTTATCACCTACGGTAATTTGAACGAATTCAAACATATCGAGGCTGTATATTATGAAAGTAAGTCATTTCAATTTTGTTTTTGCAATTTTACATGTATATAGCAATATTACCTTTTTATGTAACTCTTATAAACACAGCAGTGCCATTTATGTTCTGCACAAAATCAACATGAAGACTTAATAGTCGGATATCATCGCAACGAAAAACATCTTAACAAATCACCCCCCTCCCCCAAAAAATTATATGCCAGAAAAATTTATCAAAGACAGCAGTGGCGAAGAGAATGCCTTCAAAACGCATTTTATCCATGTGGTGGTGGACTATACATTTGTCCCACGAAAAATATCGGTCTTGTTGCTGTGAAAATGTTTTTTTTATTATTGCATCGTATGAGATTTTATTAATAACGATTCGATTCATAGGAAGACATTCATGCGATTGGCTAATTTATGTCGATCCAAGCATGATTATTGACCAATCCAATCAATCAAAGAAATTATTTAGATTTTAAATACATAGTAACGGTAATACTATTCTATTTTCATTCATCACTATCTTTACTAGACGCATTACAACCCTTGACCTATATTATAATTAAACCACTGGTATTTATACACATTATTAGATTTAAGGATTATAAAGTAAATGATATATGTATATAAAGCTTTTCTTTAAGATTAAACTTACATTATACATCTTGCTTGTTTTTTTCGTTGACTGTTTTCAGCATAATATAGTTGGTAATAGTAGTAAATAGTAAAGTTTTTTGTCTTCTAAGTATGTTAGGTTCTGGATTCTTTTGCATAGTGAATATTAACGTTCGTTACAATGATTTTTTATTAGTGAAACGAGACGTTCTTAAAAAAGTACTTTCCGCTTCAAGTACAAGTACATGTATATAAATCGGAAAATTGATTTACATCAGCAAATCATGTGAAAGTCTGCCTATGATGTACCCCTTTTGGGTGTACTAAATTTGGGGCGTTGTATCCACGTGATCAATCACCGGTCAATGCTTTATAAGGTCAGGATAAGGGTTAGGGAAAATTGATTTACATCAGCAAATCATATGAAAGTCTGCATATGATGTACCCCTTTTGGATGATTTGAGGATATGATAAAGCGTTGTACCCACGTGATCAATCACCGGTCAATGCTTTATAAAGTCAGGATAAGGGTTAGGGTAGGACTGAGGTAAAGGATATATGCAAAATTGTCTTCTCAACATTTTTAATTAGTCTTTCAAGCTAGGTTTACCCATTCATTTTCCTTATTTTTCACATTATTAGCCTCTTTAATTTTCTTGTGACGGATTTTTTTTGCCGGGTTGATCAAAATTTGTGCATTCTTATTGGTGATCAACAAAATTTGCGCATCCTCATTGGATGGATTACCTGAAGGTACAACGCTTTATCGTATCCCCAATTGATGATGAGATTGTTATTTCTAATTCTAATTCATAGATGAGAATTTCTCGTCATTATTAATTTAAGTGATACAAGTCTATAAATAAAAAGACGCACCATAAAAATATCCGTGCATAATCTGGAAAGTACTTTACAAGGGGAGGGTACTATACAGAGCGTTTTACGGTATTTGTTTGTAGCCCCTTACCGTTACTATTTCACAGAGAAAAAAATGGTTACAGTTAGCTGTATGGCCGCGGTTGTGGATTTCTTCGATAAAAAGTTTGTTCGCAAAGTCTCTAGAACCAAAGAATCGAAAAATTTGAACGAACTGGTGATTTGGTTTTCATAAAATCGAATATATACGTTGTGAATATTAAATTTGAAATAAACAATAAAATTACAATATTCTAGAAAAATGGACCAAATTTAAATCATGGTCCGACGTTAGTTATCCACGGTGGAGCAGGAACCATGAGACGCAAAGACTATCCACCGGAGAAGAGACGCGAATATTTCCAATCACTTGAGGAGTCATTGATTGCCGGGTACAAGATTTTATTGGACGGCGGTAGCTCCATAGATGCTGTTGAAGCGGCCGTCAGAATTATGGAAGGTAAAAATTAATAAGACATTCATTATTGCTGTATTTTTTTAATATATATTTTGTCTCGATCATTTAGATTGTCCTCTATTTAATGCTGGAAAAGGAAGCGTATTCACAATCGGCGGAAAGGTCAGTATTTCTCGAATTTCGATTATAAAAAAATAGAATTCAAAAGAATAATATAGTATTTTATGGTTGTAAAGAACGAATTAGAGTCTTCAATCATGATAGGAACACCACTTCACCCAGCTGGAGCAAGCACACTGCTTCACACTGTAAAAAATCCAATCACATTAGCAAAAACGATTCTTCTCGATCCGGAATGTCGTTATGTGTTCCTTGGTGGTTCTGAAGCTGAAAAATACGCTAAAGATAAAGAGTTGGAAATTGTGGACCCTGGATACTTTTGGACAGAGCATCGTTGGCGACAACATCTGGAAGGATTAGAAAAACAGAAACCTGCATCATCAGATTTTTTAAATACTCTCCCGTCGAAGGATGAGCTTGATGCGAATCCTAAAGGAACTGTGGGTGCTGTTGCTGTTGATAAATATGGGATTATCGCATCGGCTACTTCAACTGGTATTTTATTCAGTATTAGCACACAGTGAAATTTTATTCAGTATTAGCACACAGTGAAAACTGATATAACGGAACCAATCATCATTAGCATTATAAAAATTTTATCCGTTATAACAGATCCGGGGTCCGTTATATCGATTTTCACCGTGTACCAGTACATTTTATGAGTATCAATTACTTGATTCTATTTTGATATTATTTAAGGTGGATTAAATAACAAGAAAGATGGACGGATTGGAGATACTCCATTAATCGGATGCGGAACATGGGCTGACAATGAGACATGCGGTGTTAGTGGAACTGGCAATGGCGAGGTTATTCTTTAATGTGATTCTCTTAAATTTATAAAATTTTAGAAAGTTTAATTAATCTATATAGTTATTTTGTAAAAATTCAAGTTTTTCATAAGATTCGGAATCGTTCAAGATGTTGCAACACGAATGAAATATCTCGGAGAGAATGTGGTCGATGCGGCTGTAAACGTAGTTGAGGATATGAAAAAAGTTGGCGGAGAAGCTGGTGTTATTGCAGTGGATAAATATGGAAATTGTAATGTTTATTATCATTTTTTAATAACAATATCAGAACGAATTCTTATTAATTAATAAAAATTTTATAGTTGCGATGCCATATAATAGCTTGGGAATGTATCGAGGATATATTCGTGTGGCGGAAGGGATTCCACATACTTTTATTTTTGACGATGAGTTAAATCTAATTTCGGATTAAAAATATCTCTGTTTCTCGTTTCAAACAAGTATTCTGTAGGTTTTTTTCTTCGTGACATCAGTAGGAAGCTAGCCTTGTTGCTATATAAATAATCAGAAATATTACTATTAAAAAACTCAACATACAGTAATAAAAAATTATATTCCAACAATATAATCACTCACCACCGCTCACAATAGTTTCCATTTGCACTTCGGCAAACTGCACCAAAAAATTTACTTCCTTTCGATCAAGTGGGTATAGTTGTTTTCCCTGTACACGCTAAATTAGCGCTTTTACTGTAATTCGAGCCTCTATTTACACCATTGAGAATATCAACTATTGTCGAAAATAATCATTAGGTGTTCAATACGTAATACGAGACAAGGCATGTTAACAAATAGATAACCTTTTGGAAGGTATTTTCTACAGATACATAGCATAATACACTTCAACTATTACATTTTTGTTTCGCAATGTTCGTGAATTTGTAATTTAACATTTGGTTAATTATAATGTTTCTCATCTGAATAACAGGTAAGATTGCTTGCGTACTTTAAGTATGTAATTTGTCGCGTTTTACTGCTGCGACATTTTCGAACATTCTAGAATAAACCAAATTTTTCGTGTAAATATCCGCATTTTATATCAAATATAAGGAAAAGTAATTTTGACAAACACAAAACCTCTTTTTTATTAGTACACAACCTGGCTCAGAACAAGATTACCTACCAGAGTGCAAGCAAAATTCAAGAGACGTATGATGTCTCCGTTGAAACATTGTGACGATGAGCCACCTTCGGAAGGGTTGCTATTGTCAAAACACCTGGAGGAAAATGACTATTCAATTACAGATTACACAAAGCCTTTGGAAATGACCAACAATTCACGCAAAAGGCCAGGACAGATCGCGGATCTCTGACAACGTTATCCAAGACACGAAATTATCAGTGATATCAGTTCAGGACTCAATTGGAGGTGCAGAGGTTTTGTCACCATTTTGGAATGAATATATTCTAAAGGAGTCGGAGAAGTGGTGGTTATCCAAAAGAACCGTTTGTGTTGCTTTGAATCTGAACTTGTGGAGTGGCTCCTTGAAAAAACAGCATACGGCTCGTGATACTTGGTTCAGATGTTTGTACCAATGATAGTGAAGCTGAAGAACTCGCAGAAGACTTGCTTGCAATCGTCACAGTGTTTGTGGCACGACATAATGAACTACGTTCTGCTGCCAATCGCAGGAGAAGAGATACCACCCAAGAGATTCAAGAAGGAAGTGAAGAAACTTCCAGCAGGCAAGGTACAACGCATTTGCCTTTATCCCATCCAGCAGGAGTGGCTGAAACTCAGAAAATGGATGAGAACAGCACGATGAGCATACAATTAATGCCTTACCATGGTTGAAAAAGAGGACGTCAAATGGTATCTCAATGCCATAAACTTTAAGAATAATGCAAAACTTGAGTGTGTTTTAGAAATACCTTATAATATACGAGATGAAGCTATGAAGAACTTGCTTAAGGATGTTCTTCCAACTTTGCTGCCAATCATAAAAACTTTAGGATGAATTTTCGTTCTAAAAAAGATTCTCAACAATCTATTGTAATACTTTTTAAACACGGGGTAAATCTGTGGTGAATACGCATTTCTTCATAAAATTAAATCAGCAGAACCTTTTCCAAAACAACTTGAATATGATAGTTGCCTTGTATTAAATCGTCTTGGTGAATTTTATTTTTGTATACCTAAACCACTTGAAATACGGGCTGGAAACCAAGATCTTTTATTTTCAGGAGTACAAGAAAAGATTATTATTTTATTATTTATTTTTAATTCTTTATATTATTATACTATCTATTTTTTTTAAAAAGAAAGGATCAGGCGTGATTGCTTTGGATCCAGGTTATGCTCCAAGTGGAATTGTGAAAAAATGATATTAGTCGAATTTATCAACTATATCATATATATGACAAGCTTCATGATCATATTCATGGAAAAGAAACAAGCGTAAGTGTTACAGATAAGCTTTGTTAATTAACTAATTAATTAATATATTATTTATAATATAACATATTAACTTTTAATTATAGACTACATCGTGTTATGTTACGTATTCACAAGAGGATCCGTTGTCTTGTAGATGAATGACATCATAAGCTGGCTAAATGACTTTGCGAAAACTATCGTGTAATATTATTACCCGAATTTCGCATTCAAGGAATGATCAGACGTGGGCAACGACGCATTCCAAAACCACCCAAGCTATGTGTACATGGTCACATTTTCACTTTCGCCAGCATCTGATCCATAAGACACGCGAGCATCCATAGTGTCGAATAGTTGTTTGCACAGAAGAATACACAAGCAAAACTTGTGGATTCTGTGGTGGATCCAAGGTGTTTTGCTGTCCCAAATGCAAAACAAATCTTGACAGTTATTAATGGTGCTCGCAATATTTTCCTTCGATATCTTACACAAAGGAGTCAGCTTAGGCTGACGTGGGATCCCATTCCCATACAAGTCTTGTTATTACCTAATTTAGACTTTTATTAACGTTAGCGTTGATCGACTATATACATATGACATTCCTCCCGATTATCGTACGCATTAGATAATATCGTAATTAACAAAGCAAAAATGACGCCAGACTTGTTATTGACTTCCCACTCAAATAGACTCAATAAATTATATGAAAATTCCAATTATTACGATTATTATTGGTATTCGGCAATATTGGTGGCGCAGTCGCAATATTTTGCGAGTGAAGTGAAAACCGAATAAGATGATTTGATTATCATTAAGAAACCGAAATCGAATCTCGAGTTTTTGAAAGGTAATTTCATGTTAAACCGAAGCGATACTATTGAATAATACATGTAGGTAATAACGAAAATTGTTTGGTTCAAAATTTCAATAGAGATATTTACAGCGAAAAAACCAATTTACAAAAACATGGTGTTTCAACACTTTTGGATTTATTAGTCGCAGCCAATGAATTGATGCTCGAAGATATCTTCTCAAATGTCATTCTGAAGCTTTTTTGCTTTAATCAATCAAATTGCATTCGAGCATAACTCTTTTACCATGCTGCACAAATTTTGCACAGGTGTCACATGTCAAAACCCAGCTGCTATTTTTCAATCAACTGATTTTACCAAGCTACCTGAACCATCTGGGAAAAGGTGCTTGAATGGGAATCTCTCAAGTTGCAGTCACATGAGAGGTTGATCCGGAAAAATGGACACATACGAATTTAAACAACTCAACTCTACGCTCAAAAATTGCTTACCATTGATTCGTTTCTTCCATCATTATTTGGTGCCAGGAAGTGAAGAACACAGGGCTACCTTACACCCAGTTCGCAAACTCACAACCATCAACTCTTCAATTCTTTCGCAGTCAGACCTCTAAAATAATTGGCTGGATTAAGGAACAAGATGATAATCAGAAAAACAAATCGATTTGAAGCTATTACTGCGAGGTATTCGTGATAGATTTAAGAATAGAGTCCTAAAATTGTTGCCATTCGCTTAAAAGATGAGAAAAAGGTCATTAGTGGTTATAATCCGTTTCAATGGAATTCACTTAACGCACATTACTCATCTTTAAATAGCTTTTTATTTAAATTTAATTCTGATGGTAATCAAGCTATCGATAGAGTTTTAAGCAAATCTAACGAGAAACGAGTGTGTGGTGCTATGCGAATCATGGACCACTTTTTTTGGAGATGGTCAGGATTTAGCTCTGATCGGAAACAAAAAGAATTTTAACATTGCGGATGATGAAGTGTATCAAGTGGTGCATCAACAAGTTCGTTTTTGTTTATTATGATAATTTATTTAAAGAATTAACCAATTCTAGCTTGGTTCAATTGATAGAATAGAATTATTTTGATACTAATAATTATATATTTCAGAAAGATGCTTCTAAATTTGTTCTTAGTAAATGAAAAAATTTAAAATTAAATAAAAAATATCAATATTGCGAATAAATTGTATTTATCTTCATCACTTCGTAAGTGTGTTTTACAGACATATAAACACGTAAATCGCGTATGTAAAAGGTTGTAAAGTCTGTTTGTCCTAAGGAAATTTTATTGTCATATTGTTCGGTGTCATTATAGAAAAAGAAGCGCTAACAACAGATCCTATATTCGGCAAACTTTTTATAGATTTTTTTGGTTGCTGATATGCTACTTCGGCAGTTCTAGTTTATGTAACCAATAAAGTTAGAGATGATATTTCTATCATAGTAAAGGCAAAAAGTCCAGTTTCTTGTTTACTGAGAGAATTTTCTTGTTTTGTAGTTTTTTGTAGAATTGAAATGCGTTGTTAATGTTTCTTTTTGTAAAGAAGTTTTGAATTATTGTTGTTTTTAGTAATTTTTTATTAACCTCACGAAAGTCTTGTCAAAAGGGTAACGGTAATTCGAATTTTGACGGCTAATTCATAGCCAGCATAAAAAATTTTATTAATGTTAATAAACATAGTAAAGTAAAATTTAACATTTCAATTTTATTAATAAATTTTTTTATTTTTAGATTAAAGAGAAATTTTCAATTATAATAAATTTACACTTATGACGCATTTTTATGCTAGCAACTGTATATTATTTTCATAATGTAAATTCGAGTTGCACGCATAGATACATGTTGATGAATTTTATATAGATACTATAAAAAATAACATTATTATGTTTTTTTATCGTTATTTCAATTTCAAAAATTATGACTATTATAATATAATTTATAATTACTTTATTCCAATACATTTCTGCAGTACCAATTAAGCCACGCAATTTCTCACTATACCGACCCGAAGCCACTACAACAAATTTACAGCTGCAAATACAGCAGCCCGAGCTGCTGCAAATTTTGATCATGCACTTGAAAGTTTCAATCTGTTATTGTTACACAGTCAACGTTGATATAACGGACCCCTCCGTTCCTGCCATGCTGTCCGGTAAATCGACAGATCCGCTATAACAGACAAAATTTATGTAATGTTATTTATAGCTGGTTTCGAAAAATAGTCCGTTATAGACCAAATCCGTTATATCGACGTTGACTGTGTATCAAGTTGCTAATCTTTAATTATCAAATGCTGTTTCTATATTTCAATAAGATTTTATATCCTAGAAATATTAATATTTAATATATTTTTTTTAATATTGATGTAATAATTTATTAACAATTTCCAAAGAATATAATTTTTTTTAAACATTTTAAGAAATAATTAATATTTTATGCTGATTTTTTGGAATTAACTACGTAGATATAGATCGGGGAAACAATTTTTTAATGGGCAAAAACCGATTTAATAATGTAGTTTTCGAATTTTTGAGCTTTGTTTAGTGGTGATCCCTAACCGAACCGTTTGTAAAAACCTTTAATATCTCAAAAACTTTATTAAGAAACTGGTTTTAGAGTATTATAAAAAGTGTTCAGCCGATCGATTTACAGTTACTGTACATATGTTGACTAATATTTAATATATTGCAAAGTAGTTGAATTTATTAATTATTAATTAAGGGGTTTGACATTGTACTTAATCAATAATGATGGAAATAATTTAAGAGAAATAGTCAAAACAAATTGTGCTAAAGAGCTATATTCGAATTTTCAACGTAAAATTAATCATTCTTGTTCCCAAAAATCGGCAACATCTTGCAATTAATGATATTGAAGGTGATGAACTTTTAAGTAGTTTGAATGAAAGGTTCACAGTTTATATTTTAATCTCAATATAGATTGCCATAAACTTTAGCGTCAATTATTTTTAGTATTGATGATGTTGATTCCCTATAAAATATTCGTCTGCAATAAAATAGCTAAGTATTAAAATCTATGTGAAAGAATCTGTAATTGAAATATACAAATATTTACATATTTACTTGATTGTATGCCATAGCCGCTATAATATTTAATGTTAAGCAATAAAGGGTGGCACTAAAACACAGTCTTACAAAATTCTAACACTCCCCCAAGTCATCTAGTCATAGCTCAGAAATGTTTCCTCGAGACAAATTTATAAAAGATGTTCTCTTTTATACAAACTATCTAGTTACCAATTTCCAGCTAAATCAGAGCGTTGATATAAAAAATTACATTCAACGCAAATCAGCCGATTTCTGAGTGTTGATGTGTTGAAATTGTTACGGTTAATAGTCAAATAGGGATATTGGACTATTAATTGATAACTTGGGTGGGCTAGACTAATACTACTTTTATAACGGTTAGATTTTTAATGGCTTGTGTCAATATCTACGGATATTGATGTTGGTGATTTATGCCGTTGAGTTTATTTAATCTTAATCACGCGGTTTTCTCAACAATGCCTTTTCTGATTTTAACGATGATTATCGAATCGCAATCGTCGTAATCGCTTCAGCAAAACAATCGCTCA